TAAGTCGAGTTATGCTTTGCAAAGTGCTTTTTATAAATTTTGTATAACCGCCTATCTCACTTTTTTCATAATTATGAGAATACTATTAATTGTTTTACTTCAGATTATGAATTAATCGCTTCCTTTTTTAATTATCTTTCGATCAAAAAAAAAAATTGGTTCAAAAAACTTCATAACTTTTTTCAAAATTAAATTTAAAGTTTAAAATGCATTTATCTCGAAATCACTAAAACAGACTTAAGTCGTTTGTGCTTGAAGCCACTGAAATGTCCATGAGAACTAAACTCAAAAGTTTAAATCTTTTATTTAAAAATTTTACAAAACATTCATTTAAGCCATACTTAATTTTAAGTCAATTTGCATTCTCACCAGTTTATTTTTATTCCTTATAACAGTTACATAAAATGGCGTAAAATTAAAAAAGCCAGTGTAGTTAACTCTTTTGTAACGTAAAAAGGTAATGTTGTATTTAGTTCCTTGAACAATAGAATACTAGCCATCGGACTTGAAAATTTAAGCTGACCTCTTTTCTATAGTCGGCTGAAGTTAAAACCCGCTTCAACACGAGAAAATACTGCTTTTAAAAACAACCTAAATTAAAATTAATTTCATCTATTTACAAAAATGTGTCAAAGATTGCGTACATTTAGCATAAGGCAGAAAAAATTGTGGTAAAAAATTGTAATACTCGAATTTAAGAATTAGTTGTGTAAGTTAATAAAAATAATTATATTTTGTAATGGCATAGCATTGACCTTCTTGAATTCATAGAAATTTGAAAAAGTTGTAGTTTCGGAGATATTATCATAAGAGAGAGACAACTTGAGAGAGAAAGCGGAAAAAATATTTTTTCTATCGGAATTAACTTTTAACAATAGTGTTCAAAAGCTGCTAAAATTTGGGACTTCTGCAGCCTGATGACGTAATTTAGATAACGGTTGATTGTAACAACGACTTTGTTTTTCAAACTTCAAATATGGTATGCCGCTGTAGAAGAAACTAGCCGCTACTTTTCTGCGTTAGTAGAATTTAAAAATGTTTGTTTTTTTATTACAATAAATAAAAAATGGCATTTTTTGGGTTTTGGGTCCTAAAACTTTTAGAGAGATAGGAGAAGGGAGAGAGATACAAATTTTCTTCTACCAAAATGAGTTTCTAGTATAAATCAATGTTCATATGAATCATCCTATCTCCAAAGGGTGTAGAAGTTTTGTAAACTGGTCCACGGACGGGCAGACGGAAAACTCTTTTGCCACATTTTTATTTTTTTTTGGAAAAGTGTTAACAATGAAGTACATAGATTGTTTTAAAAGCTCTTGTTGAAGGGAAAAGTGCGACATTGGTTTGACCTAACTTTATTATTGTGTTTACCATCGATTGAGTGTTTACCATATGTAGTCTGACAAATTCCATATATTTCAAAAACTATTTACAATTGTACATAATTCAGACGAGGTTGATTCTGGTACATATATCGGAAAAAATGCATTCTAAAATATAATTTGTGTGTGTAAAAATACGTTAAAAAATACATATAAAATTTACGCGTCTCATGCATTTTAAAGCAAAAAAATCTGATGTGGTCAGCACATAACCGACCATTGTGTATTGTCTAGTTAAATGAAAATGTTACAGAATATTATAAAAATTGTCTGTTAAATACTTCTTTCCAATTTTTGAGACATTAGCAAGCTTATAGTTAACATACCTAGAAAAATGTAAATTTGGCTCTTAGTAGAGTTTCGCTTTGTTGCATCCAAATTTCCTGGAAAGCTCGCCAGTTAGTTTCGGTAACAACCAGAACTCAAATATCAAAATTCCGTTCCGCAGATATGGTAAAAAATATACAATCGACCCCCATTTTGGTTAAAGAGCCCTGATCGAAAACTCGACATCCAAAATTTGCTGCTATTACTCGTACATGACTTTCCTTATTTTTTCATTTACATTTTTGCGTATATAAAGAGAAATTATTAACCAATTTGTCTGAAATTTAATATTTAAATTCGGGGTGTTAAAACAATCAACATATAAATTTTTTGGAACGAATGGAGTACGGAAACCGATTTAGAGGCCGAATTTAAATTTTTTACGATATCCATATTTTCCGAAACGGATTGATAGAATTTTGAATATTTTCTTCAAAATGATCAGAAATGTAAAATAGGCCCGTTTTTTTTCATATTTATATGAAAGTGGACAACAAAAATCTATATAAAAGTTATACCTTTTGACGTGTAAATATAATTTATAATATAAACATATATAAATATGCAATATATATAATATATAATGAAATATATTATATTTAAATATAATATTTGTATATGTATATAATACATATAATATATACATATATTATATTACATATACATATATATACATATATTATATATATGTATATAATACGTATTGAAAAAAAAATGGAAAATGAATATGTTGTTGTCATACCAAAAGGAAGTAAACCCAAAATTTTGATTACGGGTATAACAGATGAACACACTGAAGTCGAACTAATTAATAAAATTAAAGCACGAAATAATATTGTTATTAATTGAATATAAATGATATAAAATTTGTTAAGCTATATAAAACTAAATATGAGAAATTTAGTACTATTATCCAGCTAATCATTGAAGACTACAAAAATTTATTAAAATTAGGGAAAATTAAGATTGGTTGGGATGTTTTCAAAATATACGAAAGCTTAGAAGATGTCACAAATGTTTAGCTTTTAATCATAAAATTAAAGATTGTGCTGAAAAAAGTTTTGTTTACTACAAATGTGCTAGTAATGATCATCTGTCAAAAGATTGTAATGCAGACACATTAAAATGCATCTCTTGTATCAGGGCTAATAGTAAATTTCAGTTAAGCTTAAATGTTAATTAAGTTTAAACGATAAATTTTGCCCATCTTTTATAAGAAGAATGCAGGTATTCAATGGTAAAAATTTTCGTTCAACTTCGAATCAGCTAAGAAAAACTTAAATTATATACATATACTTAAATATCGATGGCATCACATTTCATTTAGCTGCTTTAGAATTATTATAAATAATAATAATTACTTTGATTTAATTTTATTGAGTGAAATGCATCTGACAGAGAATATTAATATTAATGAAGTAAATTTAGATGGCTATAATATCTATGCATATTATTCGTGTTCATGGCATACTGGTGGAGTAATGGAATACGTTAAAAATTCGATTAAAGTTTTGTCTGATAAATGTTTTGTGTATAATGAAAAAATGTGGATTATCCAACTAAAAATCAAATTAAATACTGAATTTTGGTTTTTCAGTGTTATATATAATACCCCAACTCGTTTCAATGTTGTTGAGTTTACTGAAATATTTGATAATTGGCTGGAGGAGAATGTCTTAATCAGTAATAAAAATGTAATTTGTGGCGACTTTAATATTGATTGGTTAAGCGATGATATGAGTAAACAGCATATCAAAAGAATCATTGAGTTCTTCGTCTACACTTATTGATTATGTTATTTACTCTTTACCTGGAAGTAATCAAATTTGCGTTGAAGGTAGAGCCGATTGTTCGTTAGCAGATCTTCTAGCTATTGGAATAAAAATTGGTGGTAATGAAAGATATAATTTCAAGAAAAAAGAAATCAAGTCAATTAAAATATGTAAAGAAGCATTGGATAGTTTCTTGACAACTGAAAATTTTTTTTCAGAATATTTGTTGTATTGATGATGTTAGTTTGTGTGGAAATTTATTTAAAACGAGAAAAAAAATAGAGTTGACCTTGTCAACTCTGTGATACCCGTACGAATTTGTTATCCTATGTGCGAATAACTAATGTGCCATAACTAACTATGGGGCAGACTATGACTTTAAGTTGCCGTATTACCATATTAATTTATGAAAAATTTCAGTACTATATGTTTTTCAAAATACTGTGTGTGCCAAACTACTATTTAAGTTGTATGTAAGAAATTTTAACAAATTTTATCAAACACATTGGCCCTAGTAATATATTCGCTTGTGTGAAATTTCAATACCATAGCTTTTATAGTTTCTGAGATATAGCCAAATAACTTTTGAAGTTGTATGGCAGGTACCAGAAGGAGCCAAGTAATTTCAACGACTTTTATGAAACACATTGGCCCTATTAATATATTCATTTGTGTGAAATTTCAATACCATAGCTTATATAGTTTTTGAGATATAGCCAAATAACTTTTGAAGTTGTATGGCAGGTACCAGAAGGAGCCAAGTAATTTCAACGACTTTTATCATACACATTGGCCCTACTAATATATTCGTTTGTGTGAAATTTCAATACCACAACTTTTATAGTTTCTGAGATATAGTCAAATAAATTTTGAAGTTGTATGGCAGCTACTCGAACCGGTACCCCGATCATGTCCAATTTAAATAGGGTTCTGGCACTTACTACAATAAATCATTTATGAAAATTTGGTGAACTTAGCTCAATTAGTTTTTGAGTTATCGTTGGGACGGACGGACGGACGGACGGACGGACAGACAAAGCTAAATCAACTCAGAATTTGACGCTGATCAAAAACATACACTTGAGTCTATATCTAAGACCGTTATTTCTTAGCGTTACAAACGGTAAGGCAAATTTAGTATACCCTTCGAACATACGTTCGTACGGGTATAAAAAAATTTTTGGTTGAACCAAATAAACAGGAATGGTTCAATAACGAATTAAAAGAACTTAACGAAAATAAAATTGAAGCTTACAATCGTGCGGCAATATCTAATGATGAAACATTATGGAAAATTTATAAAAATATTAGGAATGAGTATAACTTTAGGAATGAGTATAACTTTAAAATTAAAACAACAAAAAAACAATTTATTGAACATAAATTAGAAAACTGCGGTGGTAATTCTAAAGATATGTGGACGAATATTAAAAAATATGTGACGAAATCTTTTCCAAAAGATCATATGTTACGAGGCCAATTCTAAAAAAGCAACGTCCAAAGGAACCAACTGACTTAAATGCCAATTGATATGATGCCATTATATGAAAAAATATTAGAGAAAGTTACAAGTTCACAACTTGAGATATATCTAGAAGAGAATAATATTTTATGTGATGAACAAAGTGGCCTTAGAGGAAAACATTCATGTGGAACAGCTTTAAATTTAGTCCTATATGACTGGAAGAGAGCCAAAGAGAATAATTTAGTAATTTGTGCAATATTTTTAGATTTTAAGAGAGCATTTGAGACGGTTGATCGACAAATTCTGCTGACGCAGTTCGAAAAATATGGAATTCAAGATAATGAGCTTATTTGGTTTGAAAGTTACTTTTTGTGTAGAAAGCAAAAAACCATAATTGACGATAGATTCTCAGAATCAAAATTAATTGACAATGGGGTTCCACAAGGTGCAATATTACGAGTATTAAGTTTTTTATAAAATATTAATGACGTAAATACTCGTATTAATGACGTAATTGTGCATAAAGTCCTGTTCGCAGATGATGCGCTTATTTATGTTGTTGACCGCAGTTTGGATGTATGTGGTGTTAAAATAAATGACGATCTGAATAATGTATTTAAATGGCGGACTTAAATGTTTTAAACTTAAATTAAATTTTGAGAATACCAAATGTATGGTAATAAATGATAGAACTGGTGATATAGTTAATATTCATGTTGGTTGTCAAATAGAAAGAGTAAGCTCGATTAAGTATTTAGGAGTAATAATTGACGACAAATTGAATTTGGACAAGCATGCTGATTACATAGCGTTGAAAATTGCAAAAAAGGTTGGTTATTTGGGAAGATTGAGGAACCAGATAACTGAAAAATGTGGGAAAACCATATATATATTTCAACAATTTTGCCTCATTTGGATCACTATTCTTCTATATTGTTTCTTTGTGGTGAAAGTATGTAAGTAAAGTTGGGTCAAACCAATGGTTTGTATTGTATACTGCTTTTTTATATATTAAATTAATTAATACTGCTTTTAAATACAGTCTTTGTATACTTAACACACTAATAAAATTATTTTCATTTATATGCAAAATTATTTCTAGGATTGCATATATTTAGGATTATGCATATATGCAATCTTTGAAATAAAACCAAAATTAATATAAAGTGGGGTTAAAATAATGATCGATTTTAAAGTTTAATTGTGTGAGTTAAGAAAAATAATCATATTTTTTAATGTCATCGAATTTATCGTTAGCTTTTTGCGTTTATAGAAATTTGAAAAAGCTTGCGGTTTCGAAAATATAAGGTGTGAAAAATTCAAATTTTTCAAATTTCAAGAGAAGATAACATGAGGTGAGGTGGAGATGGAAAAAAGTTTTCTTCTAACGAAGTAAAGTATTTGTTATTGTCTTAAAGCCTCTATATAATTGTTCTTTTTTTATTTCCTAAAACTTAAATTTCAAGCTTCTACAGGCTGGGGTTTAGAAGAAAAACGAAATCAAAAATTTGGAAAAAAAGGACTTTAGATAACGGTAAATTTGAACGGCCATTTTGTTTTTCTAAAGTTTAACTATTGTATACCGCGCTAGGGGAAGCAAGCCTAATTTTTCTGCGCTTGAAAAATTTCAAAAAGGCCCATGGTTTCATTGCAACAAATATTTAAAAAAGGCCATTTTTAGGGTTTGGGGGTAGTGTAACTTCTAGAGGGGGAGAGATAGGTAAAAATTTTGTTCTACGAAAATAAGTTTCTAGTAAAGATGTATGATACATGTAAAATTTCAGATTTCTATCTTCAAGGGTGTAGAAGTTTTGTAAACAGACACACGGACAGACGGACGGACGGACGGACAGAGTGAAACTAATAAGCACTTTTTTTCAAAATTTTTTTGCAAAAGTGCTTAAAAGAACGTCACAAATTTTACAAAATAAAGCAATGCGTATTATTTCAAGAATAGAAAGAAGGACAAAGATTCAAAGTATGCTAAATGAAATTAAGTGAATGTCAGTTAGTCAGCGTCTAAACTTCAATGTATTGGTGTTTGTGTTTAAGATGAAATATAATTTATTGCCGCATTATTTGTGTCATTGTCTTAATTATGTTAGTGAATCAACGAGTTACAATCTGAGGTCATCGAATATGTTTAGATTGCCATTGTTTCGTCGACAAAATACACAAAATAATTTATTTTATAAAGGACTTCAACTGTTCAACAACTTACCAATTTTCATAAGAAATAAAATTTCAAAAACGAAATTTAAAAATGAGTTAATTAAACATTTAACGTCAAACGAAGTTTAAAATGATTTTTGTGTATACATATATTTATATACACTTACATTAAATATCTTATAATTGATTATTTTCATATTATTTAATTTATTGTTTATTTAAATTTTTATATTTATTTAAATTTTTTATTTTTGATTTCGTTTAAAATTTTTTAATACTAATTTGGTTAATTTTGTGATTTTAATTTTTATTAGATAAATTATTATTATATTATATCAGAGTTATTTTCTTTTAATCTCAAATTCAGATTTTATTTTTTCGAATCAAAGCAAATTTAAAATGTACAAATTTATATTTGATTCATTCAAAATTGCTATATCATATATAGCAATTTTGATCAACGCATTGTCTGATAAATCTCAAAAACTGTTATTAAGATAATAATCCACAGATTATATGCACATATGTATGTATTTGTAAATATTTCACTAGCCTTAGAACATATTAACTTGCAATGCCTTTTTTCTTGCATGTTTTCCTACCTAAATTTATATTTCATGGAATTTGAAATAACTAACTTAGAACTTTATTTTATCGATCGCAGTGCAAACATATTTATAGCACCCAATTTTTCTTATCGATTCCGTAGGAACCCACTTCAAGTACAAAATAGGCAAGCATAAATAAACTATTTTTAGAGAGATGCTGATCAGTATATGCATGCAAATATCCAAATTTTTGGAGTCTCTATCATCTCTGTTAGACAAATTTATTAATGTTTCAAAGGTCACATTTTGCGAAATTTACCGCAGTAGTAAAGCCTTTATTTATTATTAGGCTAACTATCGCCCAATTTCTAATGAATGTCTTTTCTAAAATTTTCGAATTTGTAATTAAAAAAATCTGATGTAGTCAGCACATAACCGACCGCAATGTTTATTGTCTAGTTAAGTAAAAATGTTAAAGAATATTATAAAAATGTCTGTTAAATACTTTTTTCCAATTTTTTGAAAATTAGTAAGCCTTAAGTTAACATACCTAGAAAAATGTAAATTTGGCTCTTAGTAGAGTTTCGCTTTGTGCATCCCGAATTACTTGATATGCTCGCCAGTTATTTTGGGTAACAACCAGAACTCAAATATCAAGTTTTAAGAAATTCTATCAATTCGTTCCGTTGATATGGTGAAAAATATAATATCGGCCCGCAGATTAGTTTTTTGCTAATTTAGAAAATATTAAATTATATTAGGATTTTAGCAAAAGGTTCATGAAACGTTTAATGCGGTTGTATTAAATTACAAGTATCTTTAATTGGCACTGTAATTGCAAAAGATAATGTGGCAAACTAAATTAATTTAAGCGAAGAAACTGAACAATGTTGATTTAATGCAATTTAAAACTGAAAAATGTCGAACGACCGAGTCATGCAGTTTAGTATTGAAGTCGAAGGAAAAGTGAAACTCTTAAAGCAATATAGCAATCAAGGAATACGAATGAGCATCCAGAACGACGAAAAATTTAGTTTATAAATTGTCTGAACAGCGGAGACATATCGCGAAGCATACTCAAAAAAGAAATAAGTTGAGCTACACCGTAATTCTTTATTTTTACAACGTAAAAATATAGAACATAGATAATATGAGTAAAATTGTAACACAGTCGATTGTAAAGCAAACAAAATTAAAAAACTTTACATAAAATATTCAGTATTTAAGTTTATAGATGCAATGAAATTAATAAAATTCAAGAAACCATGAGGCTTGCAAACAAAAATAGAAAAAAAATGAAGTACCTAACTAATCCATGTAGAATATTTGCAAAACGATTAGTACAAAAACGGAAATATATGTCCTCGGAATATAGAAGTAAATTAAAACAAAGTTGGGTCAAACCAATCACTTGTATCGTAGCATTTTTCCCTTCAACATGTGAAAATACTGGTTTTAAAAACAATCTATGTATTCCTACTACACTGTTGAAATTATTTTCATTCATACACAAAACTATTTCAAGAATTGCATACATTTAAGGTGAACGATTTATGTATTCTTTGAAATAAAGTAAAAAAAAATTTAAAGAGGCTTTAACATAATGCTCGATTTTAAAGGTTATTGCGTTAGTTAAGAAAAATAATTATAATTTTATTACCATGGAGTTTACCTTTAGCATGCATTTATTGAAATTTCGAACATATAAGATGCCAAAAATTTCAATTTTACAAATTTCGACTGGTGATAACTTGAGAGGTGGTGGAGGTGGAAAAAAATATTTCTTCTAACGAAATAAACTATTTATTATTGTCTAAAAGCTGTTAAAATTTCAAACTTTTACAACCTAGAGTCTAGAAGAAAACGACATCAAAAATTTGGAAAAATCGGATTTTAGATAAGAGTAAATTCTAACGGTCATTTTATGCTTATAAATAATAAATGCTTATAGTTTTATTGCAATAAATAGCATAACATAATAACATAATTCGAGACACCTTTACAGTTTATTAATATTAATGTATATTAATATCTTTGTTAGTTTTGGAATATTTAAAAAAACGCGTTTGAGTTGTATATAGCAACTGTCCAAACCTTTTGTCTGAATTGATCCAAATACAATAGCATCCGTCGTCTGCACAAAACCAACAACTTGTAAAAGTTTTGTGTTGATTTCATTATTCGTTTTTGACTTATTGTGCGATCGGACGGACGGACGGACATGTTTGAATCAACGCAGAATTTTACGCTGACCAAGAATATATATATGTACATGCCCATACCGGAGACGACTACTTCAAGTGATAAACAAGCTAAAATAATTCTTCCCAAACATTTATACATAAAAAAATTTTTAAAATTTAAATTTTTTTTTGCCTAAAAATATGTCTAAACCGACTTTGATGAAATTTTATATGTAAGTTTATTTCGACTGTGGCACGGATTGATCAGCTTTTGGGATATATTTTGGGATTCAGGCCTCGGGAACTACACTTTTTAGCGGGCCTGTTTTACATTTTTGATCAGTTAGAAGAAAATATTCAACAGATTTACTTGAAATTTCATATATAAGCTTCATGCTTATGTCCGCGAAATCTCAAGGTGTCAGCAACTGGTCAGCAAAATATACATTTTTGCGTATATAAAGAAAAATAATCAACCGATTTCAATGAAATTTAATATTTAAATTCTAGGTTTTAAAACAATGAGTCTATAAAGTTTTTGGAAAGATCAGCGCTC